CATTCCAGTATCCTGGCCTAGAATTCCACAGAGTAGTCCATGGGGTTGCAAAGAGTCAGACATGACTGAGCAACTTTCACTTCACTTCACCCCTTGGCCTTGGTGTAGCATGTACACAGAATGACTTTATAAGATGGCCTATTTTCAATTAAAAAAAAAAGACACAGATCACAAATAGACAATTCTGGAAGAGGAACTAGAAATGATAATAAACATCTTTTAAAAATAGAGCTAGGACTTCACTCGTGGTGAAGTTAAAATGGAGGAAGTCCTGTTCAGACTTCAGAAGCAGGAGAGCAGACCTTTGAAATTGCTTTTGACCTGCTTGGAAACAGCACAGATTTTGTGCCTGCCTGCAAGCACAGCTAGCCAGGCGACACTTTAGATAAGAGAGAAATGGAGTGTGTCTTGGAATTTTTGAGCCCCCGGAGGCCTGGCCAACTCCCCAGGATCTAGTGAAATCCTATGACTTACAAGGTGAAACAAACAGCATTGTAAAAATGTTATAGGCAAACCAGAGCTGCATTTTTGCATGCAAGATCCTTGGGTCAGGAAGATTCCCTGGAGAAGGGTATGACAACCCACTCCAGTATTCTTGCCTAGAAAATCCTATGGACAGAGGAGCCTGGCAGGCTCTAGTCCATGAGGTCACAGAGTCGGACATGACTAAAGTGACTTAGAATGCAAACACGAAGGTTTACATATAAGACATGTTCCCTGCAGCAATTTTATAATAACAAAAAGCTGAAAATAATCTAAATATCCAACAACAAAGGGATGGTAATACACATCCACAACCCCCTGTGATCCAATATGTTTCAGAATCTTTGAATTTTCGAAGAATAATTTTGTGCATATACTGTTTAACATTCTCAATAAGGTCTGGAGCAACATCATCAACACATCCAGATTTCTGCCATGAAACTTACTAATAGCCACACTAATTGGCATAAATAGACCATAAATAGCTATAGGCCACTTCAGGTCATTGGCCATCAAATGAGTTGGCACTAAATTTTCAAAACAGTTTTCAGAGCATTCTGAGTTTGTGGGTAAGGGATTGGAGATCCATATAAATTATGGCATAATCTTTTAGGACTTTTTAATATGAGGAAATGATTACAATATATTGTTAACTGAAGGAGTGGGGGAGAGGGGAGTGTACCAAAGTGACACAGTAGCCCCCCTCCACTTTAAAAGGAAAAATGGGAACTAGTTTGTTCATTTAAATGCAAAATTGGCTGTTTTAAATCCCAACTGACCATAACTGCTTTTGTTTTCCTCTTTTTTCTTTCTGTTTTTAATCTTCAAGAGCAATAGTATAATTTTTATCAGTGTAGAAATCAGTCATTACTTCTCTCAGCTTTCTTTGACTAATTTCTCTCTTTTGGCCCCACTGCCTGGCAACGTAGAACTTCTCTGACCAGGAATCAAACCCATGCCCCCTGCAGTGGAACCACAGAGTCTTAGCCACTGGAGCACCAGCGAGGTGCACTGGTTTTCTCTGAATGGTCTGCTGGGGCGGGAGAAAGGGGATCTATCCACACCACCTCCCACTTGGTGAAGCAAAGGATAAGCTCAGCTAGTAAAGAATCCACCTGCTATGCAGGAGACCAGGGATTGATCCCCGGGTCGGGAAGATTCCCTGCAGGATAGAATGGCAACCCACTCGAGTATTCTTGCCTGGAGAATCTCCTGGACAGAGGAGCCTCATGTCATACAGTCTATGGGGTTGAAAAGAGTCTGACATGACTGAATGACTAATCCATTGCTCCAGGGACTGGAGAAAGAAACTAAATTGCTTTGTACAAGGAAGTGGGAGGAAATCTGGGGGGGCGCAACTGAAGGGAAGCAGGGGGGTGAGTGTGGGGTAGAGAGGGTGGGGAGGTGGGGAGCAGAGATCACTCAGCATGGGGTGGACCCTTGTATTAGTTTCCTGGGGTTGCCATGATTATGCACAATAAATGGAGTGGCTTAAAATAATGCAAAGTAAATTTCTCACGGTTCTAGAGGCTAGAAGTCTACAATCAAGGTGTCAGCTGGGCCGCTGTCTCTGGAGCCTCTAGTGAAGCAGGCTTCCTTACATTCTCTGGCTTCTTGGTCCTTGAGTTTATGGCAGCGTTAATTCCAACCTCTGCCTCCTTCCCACGCCTGTCTTTCCTCTGAGCTGTGCTCTGCTCAGCTGTGTCTGACTCTTTGTGAGCCTGGGGACTGTAGCCCACCAGGCTTCTCTGCCCATGGAATTTTCCAGGCAAGAAGACTGAAGTGGGGTGCCATTTCCTACAGCAGGGGATCTACCCCACTCAGGGATTGAGCCTGCATCTCTCATGTCTCCTGCGCTGGTGATGGACTCTTTACCTCTAATGCCACCTGGGAAGCCTCTCTTCTGTGTGTGTGTGTGTGTCCAAATTTTTCTCTTCTTATAAGACACCAGGCACTGGATTGGGCTGTGCTGCTATTTAGTATGACTTCATCTTAACTTGATTGCATCTCTGAAGAGCTTACTTCCAAATAAGAGCATATGTACAGGTTCCAGGTAGCCATGAATTTTGGGAGGATACTACCCAACTTCAACTAGTGTGTGATTTGACTAAGGAATGGGAGTTCTAATATTCCATTTTTCAAAGGAATGAATGAATGAACGAATGATGAATATGAAACTGTGATGTAAATTTTCTCTTTGTCTTTACCCCCAGACTTTTAGGGTAAGTTGGCTATGCACGTGTGGAAATCAAGGAAAAGGCATCTCTCTATTTCTGTAAGATAAGAAGGGGACACACATGAGAAGTGAAATCAGGAATGCTGGAGGGGGATCCTGAGAAGGTAAGGCCAGAAATGTCCCTGGGGACAAGAGCCAGGATCTGAACTGATATCTGGTTACAGATATGCAGAGAAATAGAACACAAAGATTTCTCAATGGGGATAGTGGGGCTTCTCATTTTCTCCAACTGTACTTCTATGTATATTCCAAATTTTCTATGATGATTATAATTTGTTTCAACAATCAGGGAAAAAAGCAAAAGTTATTTAAAATAAGCCCATTCAAGGTAATGGATTATTTAGATTTAAATTCAGATCTTCAGAAAGTGCCTAAAGAACTGCAAACTGAGTTCTTCCTTTCTTTAAGTCTCATCAGACGGCTCAGTATTATTAAAGCTGTAATCTTCATCCTCCATGAGTATAATTATCCTTTTCAAATTATTCCCTTTGATCAGCTTGGGAGTTTTCAAAAAATTATTATGATGATTTTATTAAGAAATCCCTAAGTTAAAGCAATTAGTAGTTTCTATACTAAAAATTAATCAGGACATATTAATCAGGTCCAGTAGCCACACAGACACACAGACACACACATGAAGTAGCTATGACTTATAATTGGTCAGAGTCTATTTTACCATACTTTGAAAAACAAATGAAGATTGAAGATTGAAGTTGTGAATGAACAGACAATAACCACCTACTACTTTTCATCACTATGCTAGAAATTGGAATATAGCAATAAAGAGATTTTTTTCTGTTCTCAAAGGTCTTACATTTCAGCACAGAGGAAGTGTTAGGATTGTTGTTGTTTAGTTGCCAAATCGTGTCTGACTGGGCAACTCCATGGACTGTAGCCCACCAGGCTCTCTGTCCATGGGATTTCCCAGGCAAGGATACTGGAGTGGGTTTCCATTTCCTTCTCCAGGGGATCTTCCCTACCCAGGGATCACATCCACCTCTCCTGTACTGGTCCACTGAGGCACCAGAGGGAGGAGGGGGCGACAGAGAATGAGATTATTGGAGGGCATCACCGACTCAATGGACTTGAGAGAGCAAACTCCAGAAGACAGTGAAGGACAGGGAAGTCTGGCGTGCTGCAGTCATGGGGCCGCAAAGAGTTGGACATGACTTAGTGACTGAGCAACAACCACCAGGGAAGCAACCTTAGGATAGGGGAATAAATTAAACAGACAATTACAATGATGTGATATAAGCGGTTAGGATAAAGGAGTGCCAGGCTATGAGAACATCCATCTGGTAGAACTGATGTAATCTGGGGTGGAGGTGGGGCAAATTTAGGGAAGGTCTACTCCAGAAAGTTTGAACTGAGATCTAAGGATAAATAGGACTTTGTCAGGTATAAGAGGAGAAGGGAAAGCAGATCCATCAAGGAAGAAATTAGATGTGTAGTACTTGATTGTATTAGTAAGTAAGAACTGTTTCAGTTGCTGGTGTTCGTGATTCAAAGTAGTTAAGCAAAAGGAATTTGTTAACTCATGTAACTTGAAGGTGAAGAGGAAGTGTTAGCTTCACGCATGGCTGGATCCAAGGGCTCAAATAATGCAGGTTTCTGTTTCTCTCTTTATATCTTTATTATGCTCATGACCTGGCATCATTTTCTAGGCCAGCTTCCTCCTCATCTAGAGCAACAGGGCCACCCACAGTTCAGTCTCTTATTCTACTAATTCAAGAGCCACACAGAATGTTTTCCTCCTTCAAATTTCCACTGGAAATTGTCTTTGTAGATGTTAACTCCTCTTGGTGATGTTAACTCTGGGAGATGGTGAAGGATAGGGAAGCCTGACGTGCTGCAGTCCATGGGGTTGCAAAGAGTCAGATACAACTGAGCAACTGAACAAAAGCAACGACTCCTCTTGAGAGGAGCTCATCCTGACCGAGGGAGGGCCCTAAATGCAATGACTGGTGGACACAGGAACACAGAGAAGACAGTGATGTGAAGACAGAGGCAGAGCTTGCAGCTGTGTCTCTACATCCAAGGGGCTCACTTGTGCGGGAGCATGTCAGTGGTTTCAGCCTGGGATTTGGAGTCAGGAGCCAATTTGGGTCTCAGAGCCACTTACAGTCTCTTAGTAGGAAAGACATGAGAACAAAGTGCTGTTGGTGCACAGAAAAGTGGACCCACTCACCAGGCTCACTGCATATGCATGCAGGACTTGCCAGGGAGGGTGATTTCTGCCCTGTGTTTTAAAGAATGAATTAGCTGGGTGACAGTGGAAAAGGCATTTGTAGCAGATGTTAGTGGTGCCCACTTATACCTTCCTGGATGTTGCTGCCTGGCCTAACAGGTGTATTTCTGCACATGCTCATTATACTTGCAAAAATCAGCATCTGAACTCCTCTGCTTGAGGCTTCTGGACCTCCCAGAAACATATGCAAGAGGCTGGAAGTGCAGAGAATTAATCAGCCTCGGGACAACTTTCCCCCAGTGACTGGCTGGAGTTAATAAATAAATAACCAAGCAACTTCATTCTTCAGTTGGGAAAATTCTGAGTGCGTGTTACATAGCACCCCCATACTCATTAGAGAAACTCCGCTTCATTTGACTCCATCTGTAACCAGTTTGTTAATGCATCATTTATTGGCTTCCCTTCCTTTCCCTGTCTCACTTCTCTGCTCCTCAACTGGTACTTCCTGGGATCATCTCCCAAATAAACCACTTGCATTTGATTTCTTGTCTCAGGGTCTCCTTCTGAGGGAACCCCAAATTAGACAACATTCCACACAGAAAGGACAGCATGTACAAGAGCGTGAGAAGGTAAGCATGGACATCTCACAACACATTTAAGACATTATCCAAATTATTTGAGAATCTGCTGCCTGGTCTTTTGATCTAAAGTGTAAAGAATTATCCAGAGCTTTAGAAATAAATGTGTACCATGTTATAACGACCCCTCTTTTATTCTGGGAATTGCTGGAGTCCAGAAGAATAGCTGGGGATTGTTCATTTTCCCTGGAGCCCTCAGACCTACACAGGGCCCAGCACACAGTGTGCTCTCAATAAGGAATTTTAAAAAATACCGTATTGTTGATGGACTGATTTTTGGCGGTGCTGGGTCTTTGTTGTTGTGCGTGGGCTTTCTCTGGTTGCAGTGAATGGGGGCTGTTCTCTAGGTGTGGCATATGGGCTTCTCATTGCAGTGGCTTCTCTTGTGGAAGCACAGACTCTACGCATGCAGGCTTCAGTAATTGCAGCTTGGAGGATCCAGAGCGCGGGCTCAGTAGTTGTGGCACATGGGCTTAGTTGCTATGCAGCATGTAGGATCTTCCCAGACCAGGGATCAAACCCACATCCCCTGCATCGGCAGGTGGATTCTTAACCACTAGACCATCAGGGGAGTCCAATAAGTATTTTTTGAAGTGATGATTTTATTGTGTTGAAATTGGGGTATTGCAAAATTCCAGTGCTTAGTATACAATACCCATCTGATAAATACCTTTTGAACAGAACTGAAGGACACTTTACAGCCAAAAAAAAAAAAAAAAAAAGCCTTTGAGAGGCATTGTGCCACCTAGTGGTGACTTTGAGGAGGGGGACTTTGCAGGCACTGGTTGTGTGCACTAGACTCAGGAACTTTGATTTTAGTTAGCACGCAAAGTTGTAAACTGAGTTCTTTGTAAGAACAAAACAATAGAAATAGTTAAATGTCCACAACAAGGGAATAATAAGTGAGGCAATATCATTTCCATAAAACATTATGCAGTGATTAAAATGAATTAACTCGATCTATCTGCATCTATATAGAAATTTCTCCAAGACTTGCTATTCAAGTGATAAACTGAAGTCACAGAAAATACATGTAATATGATGTCACCATGTCAAAAAAAAAAAACTCACCAAAATATACCCCATATCTTTGTTTGTTTGATTGAGTGGGGTGATGAGATGATTTTTAAGTCCTTTCCAGTTCTGAGATTCAAGACAAGTCAAAGTTTATAGTTCCTTTTAAAAACATACTGCTTTGACCTATCGTATAAGAAAACTGTAAAACTTTATGGAGGAACATAAAAGAAGACCTGTACAAGTGGAGACACATGCCAGTTTCCTTGACCGATAGAGTCAACACTGCAAAGATAAAATCTTTTTTTCAAAATTAATATAAACTTAAAAACAACAGTGATAACAAAACCAAAATCTCAATGTACTTTTGATAGAGAGGACTTGAAAAAAGTTCTAAAGTTCATTTTCAAGGTCAAATGTATAAGAAGAGGCAGAAAATATTTGAAAATAAAATATGCATTGTAAAGTTAGAATAATTAGAATTGTATATTAGTACCAGAACAGATGGCCAAAGGAACAAAGAGAAAGTCCAGAAACATGCAGGTATTTATGAAGTCTATGGGGTCGCACAGAGTTGGACACGACTGAAGCGACTTGGCAGCAGCAGCAGTATGTATCAAAAGTAACACTTCAATTGAGTCAGGAAAGGATGGGCTATTCAGAACTGTTGCGACCACGGTTACCTTGGTGGTCCTCACCACAAGAAGGGCATAAGCATGTGTCTTGTAAAAGCTCCACGGGCCTAATCATACAGAAAATATCTTAGGTTCTATTATATTACATTCTATAAATGGGCAGCCAACTGGTTTCTGCTTAACATCTATGACCAGGAAAACACACAAATGGAGGAAGAGGAGTCTCAGTGTGGTTATCCAAATAAAAAGTCATGTTTCTTGCTTAATTCTCATATCTGAGTCAATTTTCAGACCCAGACCATGGAACCCATTGACCGAAGGAGGTGGTTAGGTCCCTAGGAAGAAGGACCCTGCAACACTGAGACAAGTGTTGTCTGGGGAAAGAGGAACACCCAGATATTTCTCAGGATTTGAAAGGATCCTGTTATCCAGAAATATAAAGTACTCCCATGGCTCCTCTGTAAGAAAGGGGACTTCTGAGTGTCAGGTAATGAGCAGAGTCCTTGATAACACAGAGCTTACAATGGGTCCCTGGGCCTACAGACCCACCCATTTCCCCAAACTCTTCAATTCATAATTGGGAATATAAATCAGGCAGTTGGCACAAGCCTGCACATTAGGTTCTTGGCCTTTAGTTCTCATGTGGAGAAGTCCAAGTGAACACTTTTGAAATAATCCCTTCTCTATCAAGTTGAAAAAAATAAATTAAAACCAATATTTCATCCAAGGGGATGTGGAGGTGACGGTGAAATTAATGCTGCCATGAACAACCTAAAGGATGCAGGAATGGTCGCCCCTTAAATGGTCATGTTTCCATTTAGTTTGCCTGCCAACCCCCTTCAGAAACCAGGAGGATGGCTTACAAACTACTGCAGACCTAGCCATGTAGGAGCCCTGATCACAGCCATCGTGTCAGCTCTGTGACCCATCATAATACAGAACCTGGACCACTTGGGCATCCCCCAGAACACCACACGTGTTTCACTGATGACATGATGCTAATCAGGCAGAATGAGCAAGAGGTGGCTAGTATATTGGAAACCTTGGTAAGAAACATGCTCTTCAGAGGGTGGGAGGTAAATCTGTGAAGATTCAGAGAACCGCCACTTCAGTTTTCAGGGAACCAGTGGTCAGAGATATGCCAACATAGTTCCTTCAAAGCAAAAGGCAAACTATAAAATACAGGCAAGCAAGATAAAAGAAAAAAATTATTTTAAAATGCTCTAAAAGTGATACCTAAAAATAGTGTTTCTCTCCTTTAAGATGTTCTTCACTGTGCATAGAATATAAATATAACAGACTACATTTGGAATTAAAGTATCATATTACTATCTGGTATCTTGTTTATTTACTTGTTCACTTGCTTGTCCCTTTCTTCACTGTGACATAAGCGCCATGAAAGTAGGGTCTCTGTCTTGTTCTCTGTATCCCTGGTACTTAGAATGCACTTGGTGCTCAGTGAGTATTCTTTGGTGGAATGAATGAAGTCTACTATACACATCACTTTGTAGCCAGCTATTTTCAACTAACTTCCAGATGCTGCAGATTATCCCTCATCTTCCTTAAAAGGTGCCATGTGAAAGCAGACAGTTCTCACACTCCGAAGACTACTTCTACCAGTGCAACTTCTGAACTAAGAAACCTTAGCGTTTTGGTAGCCTTCGAATCCCTTTCCTTTCCGGCCAGCACAGCAGGCGGTATCTACAGCGGGCACACCCTGGCCTGGATCACGCTAGTGATGTTCCTAGGCAAGGAGCCTAGCCCACAGTCACGTCCCTCCTCCAGCCACACGGGGGCACTAGAGCGCCATAGTTAACACGGGACCCGGCCCTCTGGGAGGAAGAACCTGGGCGGGTGTGTAGACGGCCCGGTGTGGGCGGAGCAAAAGGCGTCCCGGTCCTTGACAAGGGCAGGAAGTGAAGAGGCCGGGCTTCTCTGGCGGGGTGTGCGCGTGCGCATAGATCGAGTCGGCGGACTCTTCGCTTTTGCTACTGCTGGGGTCTGTCCTGGTGGGGACTCCTTTGCTACAGAGTGGGCCGGGCCCCGGGGAGGGGACAGAGTACTGGAGTTGGGGCGGAGAGAGCTTTGAGGGGCGCTGGGGTGCGGAGCGAGGACCCTGTGGACCCGGCGGGATGGGGATGGCGAGGCCTGGGGTGGGGGAGGGACGACAGGGCGCCCGGGCGGGAATTGAGGGGGCGGCGTGTGGAGTCGGGGAAGAGGGGCGTGGGGGACAGGAGGACCGGAGGACGTGGGAGTAAAGCCTCCTTCTCCCGCCTGGTCCTCTCGGTGTGAATTGCAGGGACTCCAGGGCGCTACCGTGCAGCGCGGGAGTTGCAAATAGACAGGTGGCTGCATTTTCCGGCAAGATAACCTCCCTCTCCCAGCCTTCTCGTTTAGGGGACCCTTTTTTAAAGTTGTGTTTCTAATTAACGTAGTATCATGTGCCTCATAGTGACACCTTCTCCCGTGGAAAACCGATTCCAGCCGGTTTAGGCATCTTGAGACTCAAACCTCTTTTACTTCCTCACTCTTAAAAAGTAGAGAAGAGTTTTCCTACCTACCCCAGTGAAAAATAGGAAATTCCCTGTCTGAACAGCTGTAGGGTATTAAGACAATTTCTTCATGAACTTGTCTACAAAATTCACTTTTTGTGCTCTTTAAATAATGTCTCTTGCTTGTGTAAAGTGGAACAACAGTTACAATGTGCATGAGAAATTTTAATCCAGGGAAATGAAAATACTTCATGGAGAATTCAGGGATTGATCAGCTGTAGTGACTCCAGCCAGTGCAACCAAACCCTCACTAAAAGGATTTGGGTTCATATCCATCATTCTCAGCTGTGGTGAAAGGATGTAGTCTGACATTTGGAAGCCTAAGAACCAAGTCTGTTGCCTTCCAATTTATTATTATTTTTTTAAGCCTTCCATCATGTGTGTACTTTGCTTGAATGATTATTTTAAAGTACATGTCCTATTTTTGCCGATCTGACAGCTGTTGCCATAGAAACTGGAGAAGAAATAGTCATTTTCAGCAGAGTTGTTAAAGCTGTCGTCTAGGCTTCAGCTGTGAGTGCCAGTGAGGGCTGTACTTGCTCATTCTGAGATGGTACTTAAAGAATTAAGGATCTGAAATGTTCTTAGAGGCTAACAATCCAGATTGTTTAATTTTCTCACGTCATTAATTTAGTAATCCTAGACGTTTGCCAGCTATGTTTGTTGACCTGCTGCAGTTCTTTGAAGAGGATATGTAAGCCCGGATTCTTCTGCTCTGTGTAGTCTAGTCATTGGCTCTTTGAAAATTTATAAATAGATTTCTTCTCCCATTCTTCACCGTTTCTTAAGG